GCCTATGCAAGGGCAAGAGGTAGAAAACACTGAATAATACACTAGACAACCTGAATTATTTTGTATCCTGATCTTTTTTTAAAAAATAGAAATTTGTTGTTAAATAGAATTAACTTCTGTCTTTCACTACATCTGCAGGTTCAGACAGAATGTCTTCTTTTGGAGATTTCATCGCTGTGTCCGATGTGTGTGACGTTCCCACCGCCAGGATCATATCAAGAGAGGTAAAGGGCAAATACAGAGGAAAGGAATGTTTTAGGTGATATTGTTTTGCTTAACTGTTACTCAACCTGATTGTTCTCAGGTATCGGATGGAATCATTGCTCCTGGTTACGATGAGGAGGCGCTGAAAATCCTCTCCAAAAAGAAGAACGGCAACTACTGCGTGCTTCAGGTAAGAGCAGTGTTGCCACACTTGACTGAAACGGAGCCTAGAACACACCCACGTGTCATTAAAAAAAAAAAACAAGACTTTCTTATACATTTTGAAAAAATAGTATGGCACATTCTCTACAAAGAGTTCTTGTCTCCAGCATATATTTGGATTAACTACACTGATTTAAACTGTGATGATTGGTAGGCAAGTTCTGCAGCTATAAGGAGCCTAAGGAGCGTTTTTAATTTATTTTTTGTGCAGGTTTCTGTACAACAGACATCAGAAATAATAGTGTCTATTTAAAAATATGTGTATCATGTTTGCAGCCTTTTTTTTCCTCACAGATTTTGGCAGTCTGATGCTAATGGTTTTATAATACCTTTGTAGGTCTAATCTCCCTCCATGTCTTTAGTGTTAACTTCTGGAATATGGCCTCATTTTTTGTTAATTGGAAGCTTTCCTTTATAATGCAGCAATAAACCTAAATCACAACTACCTAGACAAAACCCAGTTTTTCTTGCCCAGTTGAAGAAAAAGCAACAAGTTGACACTAAATGTGGCAACAGAGGTGAGAATTTTTTTTAAAAAAAAGTTTTTTTTATTAAAAAAAAACCAAAAAAAACAGCAAGGACTTTTGCATTTACCAAACATTAACTAAAACTAGAGTTCACGTCATGGTTTATTTGCTGTTTTTGACTGTACGTCTTCCTCCCAGATGGATCCAGACTACGAGCCTGATGACGCTGAGGTGAGAGTGTTGTTTGGTCTCTACCTCAAGCAAAAGAGGAACGGAGGGCTTATCGATAAGAAATTCTTCAGCAATGTCGTTTCTAAGGGCTCTGTGAGTTGCTGTTGTGTATTTACTAATTACTTGCACCTTTCATAATTGACACAGTCCGATCTGAATGACTAGTGTTAACCCTTTTCTTGTTTGTGTCCAAAAGCTCTCCGAGGAAGCCGTGCGTGACCTCACTGTGGCCACCATCGCTGTCAAGTACACTCAGTCCAACTCTGTGTGCTACGCTAAAGACGGACAGGTGAGAAGAGGTCGATTAAAAAGTGGACGAAGGAGTCTAGATGAGCCATAACTTTTCTGTAAGGTTTTCTCTCGTCTGTATTTTGCAGGTTATTGGTATCGGCGCCGGTCAGCAGTCTCGCATCCACTGCACACGACTGGCGGGTGACAAAGCTGATAACTGGTGGCTCAGACACCACCCTTGTGTCCTCAACATGAAGTTTCGCAGCGGTGTGAAGCGAGCGGAGATGGCCAACGCAATCGACCAGTATGTCAGCGACACCATTGGCGAGGTGAGGGAATAAAAACGGTCAACGTACAAAACTGCGTTAAAGCTTAAGTAGACGTTTGATTATAATTAGAGCTTCTAACTTACAGGTATGGGTTTTTTTGTTTGTTTGTTTGTTTTAGAGAATGAATATTCCATTCTGTTGACGTCTGTATGGGTTATTTTGCATTTGGCCAATAACACTGCCACCATGAATTGATTTGTTGTTGGCTATTAAATCAGTGATTAATTTAATAGTTGACAACAAATCAATTGTTAGTTCAGATAATGGCTCAGTCAGCTTGAATATATTTTAACAAAAAATGAAAATTCTCCGATTCCAGCTTCTAAAATCTAAACATTTTCTGATTCCTTTCCTCCTCCGTGACAGTAAACTGAATATCATTATCTGAGCATTCATCCCACTCTCACCCAACCGGTCGAGGCAGATGGCCGTCCCTCCCTGAGCCTGGTTCTGTCGGATGTTTTTTTTTTCCCCCGCGGGGGTTTTCGGTTCCTTCCCACTGTTGCGGACTGCTTGTGGACTGCTGAAGCTTATAGGGAATCCAAATGTTTTGGATTGTCAGGTGTTTCTGCCTTGTTAAGCGCTATGAGATGACTTGTTGTAAATATGCGCTACACAAATAAAATTGAATTGAATTTGAGGACGTAATATTAGGATTTTAGTAATGGTGATTGGCATTTTTCAACATTTCTTGACATTTTATAGACCAAAACAATGAACTGATTAGTCAAGAAAATAATATTGTAAAGAATCGTTAACCTAAGCCCTAGTGGCAACTCTTGCGTTTAAATATGCAAGTCTTGGGAAATGTATGCACGTGTCACACTGCATCTGAAATGCAAAAAAGCAAAAGAGAGAAATCTGCGGCTTTCATGCAGGTTGCAGCTACTAGATCATATTCTGTTGTCACAAAACATGAGATAAGTAATTTTCTGATAATGTGGATGCAATACTTTCTGTGGCACAAAAAAAATAGTATCTGTGTTTGTTTTAAATATAATACTTTAATTTTGCTGTGCACACGCAAAGTTTGAAAATTAAATCCATTTTTTTTTTTTAGAAGTAATGTTTTGCAGATACAGTGGAGAATTGATGAGTCACTTAGAGCCCAGAAAAAGATTTTTTGCAACACATTACACATACTGTGTTTTGTAGATTTTCAGCACAAAAACGTTAAATTCAGACCAGGAAATGTCCCATTGCATATTTATACTTGGGGAAACAAAACATAAAGATACAGAGAAATAAGAATCATATTTAGTAAATAAGTGTAATTTGTTGTATGTTTGTAGCTGAGGTCAGTGCCACACTACCTTGGCAATAACTGCGTGCCATTTCACTGAATATCTTTATGTCAGATGTTTAATTCCACATCTCGTAACAAAGCACACCAAGTTTAAGATCAATGAAAATCCTTGTATTGTGTCTGTTTTGTGCTGGCAGGGCCCAGACTTGGCAGTTTGGAAGTCGATGTATGAAGAGGTGCCCGAGCTGCTTTCAGGGACTGAGAAGAAGAACTGGATCAGCTCCATGCAGGCTGTGGCTGTCAGCTCTGACGCCTTCTTCCCCTTCAGAGATAACATAGATCGTGCCAAACGGGTAAATATCCCAAACCTCACTCGAAGCACGTGTCCATGTACTTCTCACAATAAATTGCACGGGAATGCAGGTGTAACCTTTTGGCATGCAGGAGAGCCCCCACATCACATTTTGTCAATTCTGACTCTTTCTAACCATCTTTACTCACTTTTCCTCCCTCTCTGTGTGTCTGTAGAGCGGTGTTGAGTACATTGCAGCTCCGGCGGGTTCTGCTGCTGACGAGGTTGTGATTAACGCCTGCAATGAGCAGGGCATCACTCTGGTGCACACCAACCTGCGGCTCTTCCACCACTAAGATCATCTCACTCACTGCTATGCATCATTAGAGGGAAAAGAATTCTAACATTCCTGATACTTTAGCATTCCTGCCCTCATCACACTTAAGTGTAGATATCACAAAGGCACTATTTTGTAACGCACGAATTGCATTCCTAACTTGTGGTACTAACATTAGAAAGTGATACTGTTACTGTTGATGCAAATTCTGGGTCAAATAAATGGTTAACGATGGTTCATAAGTAATCTGTCTATTTGGTTTTTTTTAACTATACTGTATGTCTGGCTCTGAATGCAGAAGTGTTGGTCAATTTGTTTACTGCTTTAATTCACGCTACAGTGTCTCACCAACTACCTGGGACTACTCTGAAAATTTGTAGTTATTTCTGGTCCCCAGAAGCAGTTTTCTCTAGCACCACCATGACTTGAAAATTTAATGTTTTAAAACACTTTAATGAAATCCAGTACATCATACACTTTTAGATGGCTTGCCACCTGATGTTGCATAATCATTGAGGAACAATTTCAGTCACTTTTTCATCCTCTAACTTCCCAGCCAGAACAACCATCAGCTCAATTACTATTGGGAGTATATGAGAGTCCTTAACCACAACAGAAGGCTTTGGCATGTTGCCAGCTAAACCCCCACAATGCTCTCTGTCTGCTAGCACAAACTGTCCATAATCTGAGTGACCACTTGTTGAGGTTTTCACAGGATTACAGCAATAAACTGCACTTTTCCATCTCAGAATAGTAAGAGGCGCTACCTGGTGGTGCATCCAGGTTCTACAGCTAATCCACAGTATATTTGACATGCATGTCCTTCATCTTCTGTCATATCAGTTAAAATGATAATTTTATAATTTTAGGGCGACTGTGGCTCAGGTGGCGGAGTGGGTTCAGTGTCCTTGGGCAAGACACTGAACCCAAAAGTTGTTCCCAATGGCAGGCAGGCAGACACCTTGCATGGCAATGTGTCACCATTGGTGTATGAATGAGTGGATGAATGAGAAAACATTGAAAAGCGCTATAGAAGTGCAGACCACTTACATTTATTGTAATTTAACTATTATAAATTAATACAATATTATTGTTTTTTTTTTTTTTAAATGATTTAATTTCAAACAATCACAAGATTGCTTTTTAAACATTATCAATTTTAAATTAAGGAAACTGAATTGTAGCTGCCCCCTAAAATTTCTACTTATCTGCTTTAAAATGCTTTCTCGTCTGTTTTGTCTTAATTAATTAATTTAGTTGACTAAGTCAAAGTTGTGTTTTTATTTCAGCAAACAGTCAAAAGATGGGGAACAACATGAAGCAAAGATATCCAGCAAGAGTTGAGAGATGGATGTTGAAGTTTATAACTTGCTAAAAAAGGTATATAATGCAAAACTGGACAACAACTCCAATCTGAGTTACAAAAAACCCAACACTTTGGTTAGGATTCGGAATCTCTCCAGCTTTATTAAAATAAGGGACTTCTTTTTGTCAAAGGTAGAAACAACTTTGGCATCGACAACAAAGTACAAAAATAGAACAGTTCACATTCTCACATCCTAGTTCACACATTCACACGTTGAGATTAAAGGGATAAATTAGTAAAAAGACATTACAAGTCAGAATGTGTCAATCACGCACAGTGCAGACCCTTAGTAATGAAAAAAGGGCTACAGAACAGGAAAAACCCATTTCCATGGACAGTTTAAACATTGTTAATAACTACGTTGACATTCTTTAATACAGTGCTTCCTTTCTGACAGTTCTGTTTTTCAATTAGGAGATGTTTCGAAATATCTAAATGGAAAACAAATGCCAATTTGACAAGTATACAAAGTTCTAAATAACTTCCATTGAGGCTCACACACAAGTACGTAGAAGAAAAGGTTCGGCAGGAGTTTTCCTTTTTGAATAAATTCCAAATTTAGCAGTCAACAGTGAAAAGACTGGCTTTAGAAAACGATCAGGACTGATCGGGCAGCAGGGCAGTGTAACTTATAAACGTGTGTCAGAAAAGTGATAAGGCAGTTAGTTCATTTGAGTCACAGACAGCGTGGCTTCTACAAGGTGAAACAGTGCAGCAAATGGACAGTGGGTGAGCAAAGCAGATGCCGATGACTATCCTTTATTCCCGGGAATTTTGAGGAACATGTGCATCTGCCAGCAGGTCAGGTCGAAGGCACTCAATGGGGCAATGAATTTTCTGTGAGAGTGGGAAGATTTGAAGGGTTAGGACTGGAATTTCTGTATTTATTGAAATTTTCATATGCAAGAATGAGTGGGTTTGAAGAATATCATTTCATTTGATCTGTTTGATCTTGGAAAAAACAACTTGACCATCGAAACAGGACAATTAAACATGTAAATGATTCTGTATTCATATTAATTTCACTTACTTTGCGTAGTGTGTTGTCTCCATATCTAACAGGCTGCAGCAGACTGGCGTCAACATCAGCACCTGGTCTGCGACAGTTCTCACATCGCCAGCCCTGATGAGACAAAACATACATTCAATCATGTTTTATTTAATGCAGTGAATACAAATGATGCACACTGAAACCAGGGAGGCTGATGTGTCTCACCTGTTGTCCTCCAAAGCATGAGCAGGTGCAGATAGCACCCAGATACTCCTTCTGCCACTGGTTGCCTACTTGATAGGTTTTGCCATCATCGTAGCACACGGACTCATCTGTGCAAGTACACAATAACATTTACATGCAACTCTTCAACTTTGACAGACAGCTATGGAGTACTTCTTTGGGTACTAAAGAGGCCTTACGTGGTTCACACTTGAACTCTCCTTTGCCATTTCCCAAGCAAGTGCAGCTCATCAAGTGACCATTCTCAGCGCGACGGTCCCACTTCTCTCCAATGCGATAGTTGTTACCACTGTCATGGCACCACTCTGACAAAACAACAGGGAGACCAAATTAAATACATTCAAATTCAAAATATGCTCGTGGACTCCAGGGAAAAAAAATAACCGAAAAACCTACTGGATGAATCACATCTGAAGTGGCCGCTGCCCAGGCCGAGACACCTGCACCACAGCTTGAAGCCAGTCTCAGACATCCGCTCCCATTCAGCACCAACGTCATGGTAGGTTGAGGTAAAGGCATCGTAGCATGAGTCCTTATTGGAGGGAACTCCCTCTGAGACTGAAAACAGATGGACGGGGAAAAACATGAGATTTATGTAAGCTTCTAGTTAATTGAAGATCAAAATGTTTTGTCATGATCTTTGTGATTTAGTCACTTTTTTCATTAGTTTCATATGTCTAAGGGGACGAATTGAATTGTAAAATGTAATTTATCAGTGTATTCACTGAAAACCCAGCAAGATTAAAAGTAAAGAATTTGAAATTAGGGTAAGAGGTTCAGTCGGCACAATTGGCATTATTTTGTAAATAACTGTATTTCTGTTGGAGAACAGAATTTTGAGCAACAGAGGGCCAAATATGACACGAGGGTGTTACTGAACTGATTCATAAATGTTTTCAAATATAGAATATTTAAAATGTGGAGTTTGATCTGAGGTTGCATTAAAAATATGAAGTTTCATATTATCAGGTAAAAATAATAAAGGTCAGTTTTTGTTTTTTTAAATTTCTGGTCTCCACTGATCGATGGGATGCGTTTTGAGAAAATCCTGAAGTCACCAAGTGCTTCAAATGTGGAGGTTTACATCTGGTGCAGTTTCCATACTGCTGCATACATGTGCCATTAGCAGGAGCTGCTCTACATTAATTTCTGACATTGTTTGGTCTAGTTTGGACACAACAGTTGCTGTAGGATGCTTACTTGAGTTTCCAGCTGTGACGACCTGCTCCAGAATCTTGTGCTTCAGCGCCCCCAGCAGTGCCTCCACGATCACATTGTAGTTTGCTCCGGGGGTGAGTCCTATCAGGGTAGCAGTGGTGGCTGTGCCTGGCAGCCGGATCTGGACAGATAGGGAGAGACAAGATTTGTATATTGGAACTGGTAAATACGGTACAGACAGCATGATGGACTGGTGTAGAAACAACGGGCCTCATCTCTTACCTGGAACATCTTCTCATTGAGCTCTGTGAGAGGATGGCAGGACACCAGGTAGGCGTTGCTCTGACTGTAAGGCTTCCAGGAGATGCTGGTCTGAGTTTGGACCTCCTGTGGCACTCCAGTGTCGTTACCTAATGTAGCTCCGATGGGAAAGTTCAGCTTCAGAATGGGCTGCCTGCGGCCCTCTGCATCAGGAAGGGGTACAAAGACCAAGGGCTCACGAACTTGCCCATAGGGAGACTGTGGGTTTCCACGGTTCCCATTATATCTGCTGTTGTCTCCATTGTTGTTGTACTCTGTGTACTCCACATGCTGGCTCTGATCTCCAAAGCCATCCTGGCTATTGGTGCCCACTACCTGGACTCTGTTGTCCAAGTCAAGTTCGGGCACGTCCAGCCTGTCATCAGCACCTCCTGGGCGGTGTGGCTGGGGCAGAGGCAGGGGAAGCAAGGAGTCTGGTTCTGGGCGAGAGGGGTTAGGGAAGCAAGCAGGTTAGAGGAGGGGGAGCTCAAGCAGAGCTGCTCTACCGTATCACAGCCAACAGGAGGCGACAAATATGCAAGATTGCTGGGGTGCCACCTCATTGCAAAGTGTGTCATAATGCAGCATTACAAACACACAAGATATTTTGAATGACATTTGTAATGACATTCAAAATAAAAAGGGGTATTATTGTTTTAGGAGTCTAATGCTGATCAACTGCACAGCTTGTCTCAAGGCTATTGAGCTGCTACAGCAAAACGTTTGATGCAGCTGAGCAGACATAAGCTGCCATTCAAACCTTTAACATTTTATATGAGGTTTACCTATAAACTCCTTATTTTGGCACTTTTGTTACATCACTTGGATGCATCACTTTTGGACAACAGAAATCTTAAAATACTCACGAGTCCTGATCTTGCCCACCAGAGGCGTGCTCCTCTGTGTGTTCTGGATGGCGATGATCTTGATGATGTACTCTGTGGCTGGTTTCAAGCCTGAACAGAGGAAAAATGATCATATAATGGAAGCAGATTGAATTGAGTTTCATTCAGTAAAAAATGGTTATTTTGGTGATAAATGCCATGTGACAGTATTGTTTGCAATGAAAATGGACCGGCTGGCACACACATACCAGATATTGTGGCGTAGTTTTGCCCGGCGTGGGGTCTTGGGATGAGCTCCCGTGGTGGTCTTCCTGACTCTTCGTAGGTGACGTAGTATCCTGTGATTTGTGTGGCAGGGGGCTGCCAGGTAAAGGAGATGGAGGTGGGGGTCAAAGATGTGACCTGGAGGCTGGTGGGAGCCTGGACAACTGGTTCAGCTGTAAAGGGAAAATATCGTGTTAGATTGTTTGTTGCATCTGTGTGTGTGTTGTAAGGTTGTGCTTGTGATTGGTGCAAGGCTACAGCTGCATAGGTCAGCTCAGTTCAACTCAAGAGAAATGCTGCAGTTTATATTTGCATTTGTATAGCTCTATTAGTGTTAAAGCTAGAGTAGCAAGATCGTAGCAAGAAGAATAAGCTGAAGGTTAAAGGCACACAACTGCAAAAACCCATCCAAGTACATAGTTAGACAGGCAGGGAGGCCATCCAGTCATTTCATACAAATTGATTGGGAAAGGTTTTTTACAGGCCTGTGACTGCCACAGATAAAGCTTTTTTTTTCTTTTCTTTTTAATATTAAAACACTTGATTTATTGACTGCTTAATCTATTTTCAACAAAGATAACAAAAAATCTCCTGGAACACTTTACACACTTTAGCCTGACCACGAATTAAAGTTTTTGAAAGGCTAATTCAACTGAGCAGAATCAGATACGTTACTTGTAAAACCTGCTGCCTATATTGTCCACAATGCAAATGAATAGGTGACAGATCAGTCAGTCATTCAGGTGACGTAATCTCGAGTGACTATTCTCAAGCAGACAATAAGAGTGGGCTACAGAAACCTCAGTTCTTTCTAACTCTAGCTTTATAGTCATCTTTTAAGCAATCATGTGAGGTAACTTCAACTGGAACTCTCTTCTGCAGAAAAAAGAAACACTTTATGCAACTTTTTTTTTTTTTTTTATACAGCTAAGACCTGCAAGCAGACTGTGATGTGTAAAGTCAGTGGAGTTCCCCTTCAAGACCAGAGTGCATTGTTCTACCTTGTCTGTATTTGAAGAAAAGGTTAATTTACCTTTCCTAACTTTTGTCTGTTCACAACACTATTGTGTGCAATGATCAGGACAAACTCCAGCAGCTACATTTACCTCAATATTTCTCAATATGTAAAAAACCTAAAGTTTTTCCAGCAAAACAGAAAGATCAGACACAGTTTGTATTGTACCTGTTTGAATTGTCAGAGTAATCGGGGCGCTCTTTGTGTTGCCGTTCAGAGTGTACAGGTTGGCGGAGTACATGGTTCCGGGCTGCAGACCTTTAAAAAAAACACACACTGTGAGGAAAATCTGAAATCTGTAAATATGCCTAAAGGTCTGTTCAGCATGAAGGTGTGGTGTACCTGTGAGAGTGTAGGTGTATGCTCCTGATGGGATGGTCTTGGTGATGGTGGGATGCGAGCGACTGAGCGGCGTTGCTTCAAGGAGGAAACCAGTGATAGTTTCCACCTTGGTGCGCCAGGTAAGCGTGAAAGAAGTATCCTTCACATCAGAGATACGCACACGTCGAGGTGGGCTCACGTCTGCATTGAGGAAAACGACACAAAACTGTTAAGCAAAGAACTGGGGACGGCTGGAAATGTGTCCATTTACGACGTGGCCAGTTACCTTCCAGTGTGGTTGTTTCTCCCTCCAGTGGTCTGCTGGTGACGGAGTTCTTCAGAGCATAGACCTGAATCTGGTACGTGGTTGCCACCTATAAAACAGGCATCACATACACCTGATATTTACTCTGACTTATGATGAATTCATGTTTATGCTGAGACAAGAACTCTGTTTACCATGAGCCCTGGTACGACAACACGTGTGGTGTCCGGAGCAACATTCATTTCTTTGCGAGGGCTGTTGATGTTCTTTGGGGTGATGACGACACGATAGCCGCTCAGACGTGCATTTGGTGCTCGCCAGGACACGGTGAAGACAGAAGGGCCGACTTCTGAGATCATCAGGTTGGTCGGAGCAGGGATCACTGAGACAGAGAGATTGCAAGCAAAAAAAAAAATTGAAACACTGACTTTTAACTGAGACGTGAATGTGGTGATGTATTCTGTGTATTTCTACCTGTGGCCTGGGTTCCCACTAAGGGTGTGCTGGGCGTTCGGTCATGGAGGGCAATGACTTTAACAGTGTACTCGGTCCCGGGACGAAGGCCGCTCAGCAACACACTGTCCTGGTCGCCTCTGGGTGCTGGACGCAACTCTCTCTCGCCTTCTTCTGAGCTGGAGTAAAAGATGCGGTACGATGTCACGGTGCCGTCTGGACTATCCCAGGTGATGCGCATGGAGGTGGAGTCGATGTCGGAGAAGCTCAGTTCTTTTGGACGGTCCATAGCTGCAGGAAAGGAGCAAGACAGCGTATTCTATTCTGCTCTACATTTCTAAGGCTATAAAGATATCTGACAGCAACACTTGAGATATATTTTATCTCAAATGCTGTGAGTCACTCTGGTAGTCATACTGGATTTAGTAGCAGAACCCTTGGTCCGAGATCTGCCAAAAATCAGCCAGTTTGTGACATGAACAGCAGCAAACATGGTCAGAGATGAATGATTGCTGTCAAGGCATTTGAAATAATTGATATTACATAAATAAACTTTAAATAATTTATCCGCTGGCAAGAAAAAGTTTAAACCATCCAACCATTGCCTGAGTCCTCTCCAGGAACTGCTTTGTCTCGTAAACAGTATATTATTATAGCTAATATACTTTGATATACAAAGATAATATAAATATGCTGTATATCACCTTTATTGCAGGTAGGTATGCAAATTGTTTTGGTATTTTTAAATGCTAACGTGCATTTAGGATATATCATATTTGTCTGTGTGACTAAAACTTGTTTTGCGTCTTTAAATGATTTTTCTTAACTAATCTGTTTGCCGTTAATTATTTTGTCAAACATGATCTGGCATTCTTTGAGCACAGAATTCCTAAAAAAACATATATATATATATATAGTTACAGTGGAAAGATAGCTGTTATCCAGCTACTAAAGTGAATGTAATGCACATTTGTACCAAAACAGTCCACAGTTGAACCTTTCTTGAATCAGTTTCAAATGAATTGAGTCAAACTAACCAGTGACAGCATTCTCCACCACGGGGGAAGAGGGTTGTCCATCATTGCCCAGAGCATAAACGCTCACAACATACTCAACAGTGGGCATCAGACCTGTGAACGTCATCTGTGTCTGATCTGTAACAACAGAGGAGCAGACGAGGAACCAGTGAGAAGACAACATAGCACTGGGAAAATATTGTAAAATGAAGACGTGAGTATGTATCGGAACAGCTGCTGTTTTTTCCGGCCTGTCTTACCGGGAGCCACCACCTCAGAGTACGAAGGTCCCAAGCCATTCTTAGGGACGCTTGTGATTCTGTAGCCTCTGACTGGTCCCTGAGCAGGAGTCCAGCGCACTGTGATGGCGTTGTCACTCACATCAGTCAGCTTCATGTCAGTGGGGGGCTCAGTATCTAAAGGAGAGACAGACGCAAGGCAAGCTGTAGATTTACTATAACTCCTCAACAGTTACTTTTTTTTTTCAAGAATTTCTTTTTTTTCTCATTGCTGTACCAGTTCTGTGTGTTATGTAGACAGGAGTGTTGGAGGCGGGGCTGTCTCCTCGTCCAGAAACAGCATAGACTGTGATGGTGTAGTCGGTACCGGGCTTCAGTCCGGTGATGGTGGCGTAGGTCTGAGTGCCTGGGATTGAAAACTCTTGCAGAGCCTCACCACCTAGAAAAACAGCAACTCATGTTAAACTCAGAACGTGGCTGCAGTTTAGAGGAAACTATGAATTAACAGACAGGTACAGACTTGTTCCATAGGTGATCCTGTAGTTCTTCACGGTGACAGAGGGAGCGTCCCAGCGAATTGTGATGCTGGTGGGGGTGGATGATGATACCTCCAGGTCGGTGGGCGCATCAGAGACTGGAAAGGATTAGAAGAGGAGAAGACAGGAAAGAGGTTCATTATAATAAAAAAAATCTCTGAAAACAAATAGTCATAATCAAGACTCAGCAAGTGATAGTAGAAACCAGTGTGGAAACTCACTGGTGGCCTGTGTGCCAGTCAGAGGCTGACTCTCCTGGTTGTTGTTCACAGCGTACACATATATCAGATATTCGGTTTCGGGTGTTAGTCCAGTCAAGGTGAAGTGGTTCCTGGTTGGGGGAAGCCTCTCATCCATTGCCCGCCCACCGCTCGTCTTCTGATAGCGGATTCGATAGCCGGTGATCACAGCAGTTGGAGCCAGCCAGTGAACGGTGAAGGAGTTGGTCCGGATGTCAGAGAAGTCCAAGCCAGTCGGGGCATCCAGAGCTGATAGAAAAGGTATTGAAAATTAATATGACTTTTTAGTTAAATGCAAAAATAATGGCAAATACAAAATCACCTCCACAAATGACACCAATCTCTCCTCCCTAGAAAGCATGCATACATGACACCATGTAAATCGCACAAGATTTTCTTAATAAACAGAACAAATCAAATGAATTTAAAATCTTTCACATGCATGAACAAACATTAATGTAAATCAAACATACTGTCTAATATGTAGGTCTACCGCTAAATAGACTGTAAAATAAAGTATTAAAAGAAGTTTGCATTTTAGTTGTGTATAGATACCGTTCACTGAAATAATCAGGTTTTGTTATTTTGTTGTGTTCAAAAGCAAATTGATCACGTTATCGTCACTGAGGCATAACTGCATTATGAAGGTTTTTAATATGGTGATTTGCAATTTTTTGTTCTTCTGTCTTCTGTTTTCATATATTTAAAAATACTATAGTTCATATAAATACATATATATTTTTTATGTGATTAAACATTTAAAATGTACTTGAGCAAGTCTTGTGGCACAATCAGTCCCTCTGTCATACTCACTTGTCTTCTGAGTCCCTGTGGCTGGTTCACTTTCTCGTTCACCGTACACGCACACAACACTAATACGGTACTCAGTGTTGGGCAGCAGATCTTTAAAGAAACGGTGAGATACACAGTTAGAATGACTTGACATGGAAAAGCAAAAGTTAAAGCCTGTCAGGCACTTTTTAACAGACGTGATCTTGAGGCTGACTTACTCTGCAGCAGGAAGGTGTTGGTAGCTCCGCCAACATTAACCTCCTTGACGTCATCATCTGTGGCTACAGGGTGGTAACGGATGACAAAGCGAGAGATGTCGCTTGGTGTGGCAACATTGGGGACCGTCCATGTCACCCTAATGTGGTCAGGACCCACCCCTCCGAATTGCAGATTGGTGGGAACTGGGATGGCTGGAAGACGGGGTTATAGAGTTATTGCTAACACTGGAAAAACAAAGA